ACTCGCTTCTACAGCAGTGCCCGGTCGCCGTTTCTTCCCCCCCACCGCCGCTTCGCCGGTTCTTCTCTTTCTCTTCGGTCCTGAGATGGTCGTACTCTCTGCTTCTTCTTCTGCTTCCCTCGCGCGCTGGCGCTTCGCGGACGCTTCCGCCTCCTGCCTGTGCCATTTCCTCATGAACCATGCCGCCCCGTCCTCGACCTTGTTGTACCACACCTCCGAGTCCTTGGCGCTCTCTTTCCATTTCCCCCCTTCCTTTTCGTCTCCCATGTTGAAGGCCACGAGGTCCTCTCCTAGACGAGACACCCAGTCGCTCTCCTGCCCGCCCCGGTATCCCACGCCCCCCGCCATCGCTCCTAACAGCATGCGCCTGGGGAGGCGGTTGTCCTCCATGCGCATAACGAAGCCCGCGAAACACAGTCTCCGTTTGCGCACGGTGGCCTCGATGGTTTCCTCGCAGCCTGCCTGGATGAGGGCCTGGGCATAGGACAGGGGGCGGTCTGAGCGTTTCCGCTTGCTCCAGCCGATGCAATGTGTGAGGAACTGGCGGTGGGTCCCATTGATTGAGCTTCGTGTAGTGCTCCGCTGTTAGGCTCCACGAGGCGCACCCATACAGGAGAGTCTCCACCACTTCAGCCTGGAGAAGCCGGATCTTGAGCTGGCGGTCGGCCCGTCGCCTGTCGTACATCGAAGCACTGTTCCGGCGGTAGCACTTCCACGCTCGGCAGCTGCGGCTCGTGATCTCCCGGTCGGCCTTCCCGTCCGCGGAGATGGTACGTCCGAGGTACACAAACCGATCTGTCTGCTTGTACGTCTGGCCGGCGGCGCTGACCGTGAACGGGCGTTCCTCGATCCCTTTCGGCAGCATGCACATGATCTCCGTCTTTGGCTCCGATACCATCAGTCCGAACAGGCCGGCCACGCGCACGATGACCGACATCATCTTCTCGAGACTCTCCGGCGAGCGCGAGACGATGGCCGCGTCGTCAGCGTAGAGCATGGCCCACAAGGCCTCCGCGTCCGTCACCACCGTCGTCTTCTTCCCCGCCGACCTGCCCTTCTTGCCCGTGTACTCCACTTGTGTCCCGATCTTGACCATGTCCGCCGTCACCTTGGGGTCCTTGTCGAACTCAGCCACGGCAACCATGAGCAACGCGGCAAAACAAGTTGAACAGCAGCGGGGCCAGGTTGCATCCCTGTCGGAGGCCTTGGCCCACGTCGAACCATTCCGAGTACTGCCCGTCGTCCGTTCGGACGCGCGCCCTCATGCCCTCGTGGAAGTGGCGAATGACCGCCAGCATCTTCGGGGGCACGCCGAAGCGTCGGAGCACGTCCCACAATAGGTCTCGGTCCACCGAATCGTATGCCTTGGTGAGGTCGACGAAGCACGCGAACACCGCAGTATGTATGTATGTCCTCTGTATTGCCTTCGGCCTCTGTGCGTGTTTCTTTTTTTCATGACCTCCCTGCCTACTCTGCTGTGTTGGGTACCTTGATCTCGCTTTGCTGTTGCCTTTGTTTTTGTACGTCTGGCTGTCTGCCCATCTGCCGCCTCTTTGCCCTGTTTGCTCCGTTACTCCCATGCCCTGGTGCGTGGTGCCTGGTGCTGGTACGTTACCCTTTGATTTTTTCTTTGTTTGGGCGGGTGTGAGAAGCGTCCTCCTTTATTTTTCTGTTACTTATGTTTTTTTTTATGTTGATCGGTGTCCGAGGGCTCTTTTCTCGAACGGTCGGTGCGATACCTGTTCTTTTCTTTCTATCATTTTGTGTTCTTTTTCCGAGTGGTTTGTAACCTATTTGTTTTTTTTGTTTTATCGCGGCGTCGTATGTGCCGGGTTTTGAGACCACGGGCTCCCCATTTATTGTGGACTATAAAGGCTACCGAGGCTGGTGGTGCGCACGTTCCACTATTTATTTTTTTGTTTCTGATTCTTTTGTTTTCTTGTATTTTATCGCTCTGCTAACCCTTGGGGTCCATTTTATTTTGGTATACCTTTTCTAGGTACGTTAGCCTGTGACCACGGAAATTGACCGAGTCAAGTGCTGGATTAGTACGGAGAGATTGAGACAGAAGGAGGTACTGGATAGAGAGACCGGGATGGTTTTTAATGTGAAGATAACAACAACATAAGAGCTAATGTGAGAAGCAACAAAACAACACAACATGTCGCAACTTGATTGGGCGAAAACGTCCGGCTTGACCAATCACCGGCCGTCCTGAACCCGCCGACTTTTAAGAAGACATACAATATTCTTTATTTTTCAGGGCTGTTTTTCGTTTCTTCGCGAGACGAGGTGAAAACAGCACACATCACACACCGCGTTGCGGGCTGGGACGTGTTCTCGTGAGACTACTACTGTGCAGCAGCAGCAGCAGCAGCAGCAGCAGACTGGGGATCATACCCACGATGTTGGACGAGAGAGACCACGAGATCGGCGGCAGCCACGGCGGCGGCGGCGGCGGTGCCGACCAAGGCATGGGGGCGACGGTCCTGTCCCTGGCGCAAGGGCTTGGCCTAGAGTTCGTTCCCCTCTCCGCCCTGCTCTTCCTCGACGCGCGGGACATCGAGGCCTGCGGCGCCGCCAACCGCTTCCTGCACAAGGCGGCGGGCGACGAGGGGGTGTGGAGGGCGGCCCGGGACCGGCTGTGGGAGGGGAAGGTATTCGTGCCGGAGAGCTCGCGCGCGATGCGGGCGAAGGAGGGCTACATTGCCAGCCTGAGGGACTCGAAGCGGACCTGGCTTGACGCGGAGGAGCTCACCTCCTTCTCCTGGTGGTTTCGCTTCAAGCAGCAGGCCGGGGAGGCTTGGACATCGCAGGACCCTTGGTACCGTAACGAAAAGGTGAGCGGGAGAGGAAAGCCCAGAAGGCGTTTACCCCAACGAAGCGCGTGCGCGGGACGGAACATGGTTTGATTTTGCACGTCAACATGATGGTTCTACTGCTGCTGTGTTTGCATCGACGTATCGACGATGCCTATATTTGTATGCGTTCAGCAGCAGTTGCGAAAATGACCTGTGGGTAAAAATTCTCTTCTTCGGCACGTCTCTTCACCCTCGCCCTCGTGAGATATTAGTAATGGTACAGCAGTAGCTCATTTCCTTTGTTTGCGAGAGCAAGGCGGGCGGTGCCTCTGGCGTCGAGAAAGCTGTGTGCGGTTCCGATTGGGTTGTGAGCAAGTTGACCGAAATCTGTCGTGTGCTCGGGTAGACATGGAGAGTGATTTTCGACTTCTCTCCCGTGACCTACCCGCAACCCATGCTGTAATGTGAAGACAGAAACAAATCCCGCGGGCAGCTCTCCCATTGTACCTCACAATTTCCAGGTGAATGTAGGACGGAAGCAACAACACCGCCGTGTGTGTGCGTCGCGTGCGAATGATTAATGTACGCTGTGGGCCTACAGAGGGCGAGTCGCCTCGAGTTGTTGCTTGATTTCCACCCTCGTCTGCTACCCGCAGTAGTGGTTGAGGCATGTGATCCACAGAGCAGTAAAATCCGGTCTGGTTACACATCACTGCCAAAGCGTGGTCCCGGTATATCGGTTCCCTACTTGGCGGGATCCCCTGAAAAAACATGTAGCGATTCCGAAGTCTCGTGGCACCACTGAACCTCGGTAGCATCCGTATTTAACTTTGAATCCGGGTTAGCAGCGATGCCCTCAATAGGTTATACTTGTAACATTTTTGCGACACTACAGGACCGCTAAACCGGTACCACAGCTCTATATATGGTAGACAAATATCGACACTGGAATTAAGGCGGTTAATAGCAAAGCTAAACGACGACGCGGTGCTGGACTTGTTGTTGAGCAAGCACATGATGTTTCCCATGGTTGAAGGGTCGTGCGTACAGCAGACGATGCTCCTTTTTTATTTTTTTCTCACGAGCAGTTGCGCTGTAGACCGCTGTGTGTGGGTTTTCATAGATGACCCGCCGTCTCCATCCTTGTTATCCACCAGACAACCCTGTCACAGGATTTTTTTTTGTGCATCCGAGAGCGGACCCACATAGCAGAGGGGCAAGTTACCTACTCCCTGTTCCTCCAAATGAACGGATGTGCACCTACTTGTGCGCGCCTCGTATGCCATCTACGCACAGCGGTTCTACGGACCCGGTCTCGCGCTGTTTGGTTTGCTGTTAAATTCGTTCGACGTCTGCATCATTGGAACAGCGGCTGATGTAGATGTTGTTCGTGGTCTAGAGCAGCACCCACCGAACAACTCCTGTACTGCCGTTGTAGTTGTCGTTCACGAAAGGCCTGTCTGTCTCCCCGCTGGCATCATGCATGCATTTGCCACTATGCATACATGCATGTGCCACACACCTGATGCTCACACACAACAGCGGCAGCAACAGCAGCAGAAAAGTTCAAGTAGCGGACGGTCGAACATCAAGTTTGGGGGGGGGGGGGG